AAGAAACTTCAATCTAACAGTTTACATTCAAAGTTACAGATTTTTTTTTAAAGTGTTTACATGTTAATTATGGTCCTAAATGCATTTCGAATTATTGAGACATAAATCTTTATGATTCTGTTAAGTCAAACATTTTTATGATGCAAAGCATGAAAATATGATTCCAACATAATTTAGTTTGCAATTTTTAGAGTCAGGATGAATTTTCTACCACTTTCTAAAGTTCTGACATTTTTCAGTTGATAGGAAATTAGTTTTTGTATTTTCTCAAATTTTCATACATCATTTTCCTTTCTCAGGTCCACCAGACAGAGACTAACATTTTGCGCAAAAGCTCCTGGGTTCTCAGGAAATAGATCCCGCAGCCCCTAGCACGTGTTCCAGGATTTTATTCAAAATGGGACTTGAGTTCTATGTTATTTACAGATTAGTGCACGACCCCATATGTAAGTGATTGCTCGGGCTGCTAATACATCCCTGGGAGTCTTTAAATTTCAAAAGCCATGCCCTTGCTCTGGACAGAACAGAGCAGCAGCACAGCCACGAACTTCACAGTATCACCAGCGGCGAACAGCGGCGATTCAGCTCAAGCTCCCAAAACAAAAAGTGTAGAGAACAACCGTACGAACCTATTGGTGTTTTTCTTGCAAGCCTTGGTGCTCTATAGCGGCTGTCAGGGTGTTAGAAGCGGCGGCTAAGCTCGGCTTGCACATGCATGTGAGTTTTGAGGCTCGATCTAATCGTGCATGCGTATGGTAAGGACTCTAGGGACTACTAGGAGGCTCACCAAGAAGCAAACGCAGCTCAGCGAAGTCTTGGCGACGGTGTACTGGTTCGGCGACGGCGCGGCTGCTACGGTCGTCGTCGACGGCGTATCCCCAGGCTTCTACTGCAAAGAGAGGAAGCATGCCTCTGTTTAGATCAGCACAAGGTAGCTCTAGGCGGAAAATATTGCGCCGAAGCTCACCAGAGAAGGAGAAAGAAAGGAATGGCGTCGGCGGCTGGGATTGGAGAAGAAGAAGAGGATCTCCCACTGTGGTCCACCTCGCGTCGATTCCTTCGGGATTCTTGATCTACAGGTGTTGATGAAGCTCGTGACGAAGTGGCTCAGCCTGTAACGAACTATGGAAGCCGGGCGACGAGCAAAGGCGAAGCAGCGGCGTCCAGAGCGCGACGGTGTTCCGATTTGACGCGGTCACGTTCCCGGAGATTGGCTGCACCAAATGAGGTGTTCTTGGTGGTGTTAGAGACGGCATTGAGAGGGGATTACAGAACGCATATTGAACGGAAATGGGCTCACCGGATTGCGACGGAGTCGAGGACTTATCTCGCCGGCGCCGGAGATGGCGCCTCCGTTCCCGGCGAATCCGAGGCGGGGTACCTCGGTTCTTCCGCGAAACGAGACAAGGGCGAGAGGGAGAGAAAGTTGGTCGGCCGGTCGGGTTAAGTATGGTCGCCGGCGGAGATGGACAGGAGGAGCTCGCCCTCTCCCGTGCTCGACGCGTGCTCACACGCGTGGCATGCGAGTTCAGGCAGTGGGCCCGTGTGGAGAGGAATGTGAGGCTGACAATGGGGTCCCGCCATGCAGCCCTGGCCCACATGGCAGCGACTAGTGAGAGAGAAGGAGAGGAGATCTAGGTTTTGGCCAAGTCTGGAACAGAGGTGGAATTCCATCTTTGGGTTAGTTTAAAATTAGTTCCAGGCAGAGTTAGAGCTAGTGACCAAAGGCAAAGTTGTAAAGCAATGATTGAACTACAGTTTGGATCGAGTTTTACAGCCTAGGAGTTCAAGATCCAATTTTGGCAGAGTGTCAAAGAGTGCTCCAGAGAATCTGTCAAAATCCTGTGCTTAAGTGTTTAGAGAGTTGTTTGGTTGATCTAATGAGTTGATAAGCTAAATTAAAATCCGCATTTAGTTTCTAAGGTCAGCAAGAAGTTACCACAAATTCTTCCCAGATTTTTGAGTTGTTCCAAGAATTTTTCTTTGATCCATTGGTTTTAGTTAAATATGAACATGATCCTATAAAGCATATGCATACACCACAAAATGCACAAACAAGCAAGCATATAAGTTTTAAACAAAAGTTTTATTTATTTTACTTCTTCCACCATTTCCATGTTTTCCAAACACCCAAAGTCATGGTATGTGACAGCCTACCCCCCTTACAAAAGAATCTCGACCCCGAGATTCGTCATTCTAGAAGAAACTAGGGAATTCGGCCTTAAGTCGGTCCTCTCGTTCCCATGTGGCTTCATCCGCAGTATGATTGCTCCATTGTACTCGAAGTATCTTGATGGAGCTTTTGCGGGTACGCCGTTCACTTTCTTCGAGAATACGAATTGGGTATTCTTGATAGGAGAGATTTGGCTTTAGATTAATGTCTTCAAGTGAGGTGTGCTCAATCGGAGTTCGAAGACATTTCTTAAGTTGAGAAACATGGAATACATCATGTATATTAGACAACTGAAATGGCAATTCCAATTGATAGGCTACTTGTCCACGCTTAGATATTATTTGGTATGGCCCAATATATCGTGGAGCAAGCTTGCCATGAATTTGGAATCGTTGAGTACCTCTCATGGGTGATACTTTAAGATAGACATGGTCACCAACATCAAAACTTAGCTCTCGTCGACGACGATCAGAGTAGCTCTTTTGACGAGTTTGAGCTTCTTTTAATCGGTCCCGAATAAGAGTGACATTCTTTTCAGCTTCATTAATGATAGCAGGTCCAAAGAATTGTCTTTCTCCTACTTCGGACCAATAAAGAGGAGTCCTACATTTTCTCCCATAAAGAGCTTCAAATGGTGACATTTGGATACTTGATTGAAAGCTATTGTTGTAGGAGAATTCAGCAAAAGATAGACATTTCTCCCAGTTAGTGTTATGTTCAAGCACACAAGCTCGGAGCATGTCTTCAAGTATTTGGTTTGTTCTTTCCACTTGACCTCCTGTTTGTGGATGAAAGGCGGTGCTGAGGAACAATTTGGTTCCGAGAAGTTCATGTAAATTTTTCCAAAATCTGGATGTAAATTGTGTTCCTCGATCGGATACTATGACTTTTGGTACGCCATGAAGCCTTACAATATGAGTCAAATATAACTCTGCTAGCTTGGCTCCACCATAAGTCACATGCACCGGAATGAAGTGAGCCACTTTAGTCAGTCGATCCATAATAACCCATATAGAATCATGTCCATTGGGTGTTTTAGGAAGACCGGTAATAAAATCCATTCCAACTTCATCAAATTTCCATTCAGGTACTTGCAAAGGTTGGAGTAGCCCAGCGGGTCGTTGATGTTCAGCTTTGACACGTTGGCACACGTCGCAAATTGCAACATATGCTGCTATGTCACGCCTCAGGCTAGGCCACCAATATTGAGTGCGAATATCCTGGTACATCTTAGTGCAACCCGGATGGATAGACAAAGGTGTTTGATGTGCTTCATCAAGAATGGTTTCTCGAAGGTGTTGATTATTGGGAACAAAGATTCGTTTGCCAAGCATAACCATACCATCAGAATTAAGAGTGTATATAGATTGTGGCTTTGAATTGATTTCTTTCATAATTTCAGCTACTTCCTCATCAATGGACTGAGCAGCTTTAATTTGAGAATAGAGAGTAGGTTGTAATGCTAGTGCAGCAACATAACCATCCTCTACCAATCCCAAATTCAATTTCTGAAATTCAGAGGACAACGATGGCTGATTTATTGTCTCAATAACGGCAAGGTGATGTAGCTTCCGGCTTAAAGTATCAGCTACTACATTTGCTTTACCGGGATGATAATGAATACCGAGATCATAATCTTTAATGAGTTCTAACCATCTTCTTTGCCTTAGGTTCAGATCTGGTTGGGTAAAGAAATATTTCAAACTCTTATGATCGGTAAAGATTTCGCACCGATTACTGACCAAATAATGGCGCCAAATCTTTAGAGCATGCACCACAGCTGCTAGCTGTAAGTCATGAGTTGGATAATTGATCTCGTGTGGTCGTAACTGACGAGAAGCATAAGCCACTACTTTTCCTTCTTGCATCAGTACACAACCGAGACCATGATGTGAGGCATCGCAGTAAACATGAAAAGGTTTAAGAACATCAGGCATCACTAGCACTGGGGCTGTTGTGAGCCTTCTTTTAAGTTCATGAAAACTTGTTTCACATGCCTCAGACCATATGAATTTATTTTCTTTTTTAAGAAGTTGAGTCAAGGGTCTAGCAATTTTGGAGAAATTTTCAATGAAACGACGGTAGTAACCAGCTAGTCCAAGAAAACTTCTAATTTCAGGAACATTTTGTGGTTGCTTCCAATTAAGTACGTTCTGTACATTTCTTGGATTCACAGCAATACCACCTTCAGAAAGTACATGACCAAGAAATTCAACTTCTTTTAACCAAAATTCACATTTTGAGAATTTGGCATAAAGTTGATGCTCACGGAGTTTATCGAGTACCATACGTAAATGTTGCGCATGTTCCTCTTCACTCTTGGAGTAGATGAGTATATCATCAATGAATACCACCACAAATTTATCAAGATATTCCATGAAGATTTTATTCATCATATTCATGAAAGAAGCAGGAGCATTGGTTAATCCAAAAGAGACTACGGTGTATTCAAATAAACCGTAGCGAGTTGTGAATGCGGTTTTAGGAATGTCCTCCGGTCTGATTTTAAGCTGAAAATATCCCAATCTAAGATCAATTTTTGAGAAGACACGAGCTCCGGTTAACTGATCAAATAAATCATCGATCCTAGGAAGAGGATATTTATTTTTGATGGTGACTTCATTCAGAGGTCGATAATCCACGCACATTCGCATGGTTCCATCTTTCTTTGGTACAAACAACACTGGACAGCCCCAAGGAGATGAACTAGGACGAATGAAACCTTTAGCCAATTGCTCATTGAGTTTCTTCTTTAATTCCATCAAATTTTCAGAAGTCATTCGATATGGCCTTTTGGCTATAGGTGCTGTCCCAGGGATTAAATCTATCACAAATTCAATGTCACGATCTGGAGGCATCCCTGGTAATTCGTCAGGAAACACATCGGAATATTCATTCACGATGGGTACTGATTTTAACTCCGGTATAGAGAGAGATTGTATAGAGGGTTGATTTGAAGTGGAGGTTTGTTCAAAGGTAAACCTAACAAATTGACCATCGGTGCTACGAAGAGTTACAGTTCTATGAGCACAATCAATGGTTCCCTCATGTTTAGTTAACCAATCCATCCCAAGAATGACATCTAGGCCCAAGGTGTCTAATAATATGAGGTTAGCTTTAAACTTTACCCCGTCTATTATAAGTTCTACACCTTTGCATAGAAGTTTGGTGACCATGGTGGATCCAGGAGATTGGATGCGCATAGCATCGCTAAGAAATTCTGTTTTCAAGTCAAGTTGTTTTGCTTTCAAGGTTGACATGAATGAATGAGTTGCACCGGAATCAAAAAGAACTGTTAAGGGAATGGAGTGCACAAGAAATGTACCAAGTACGACACCAGGTGCGTCGGTTGCTTCTTCTGCAGTGACATGGTTGAGCCGGCCCCTTCCAAAAGTTGGAGCTGGCTTGGGAACAGCAGGAGCTCCACGCTGTCCAGGCTGAACTTGAGGAGGACCACGAGGCTGCTGCGGTGCTCCCTGCGAGTACGGTCCGGATGTTCCAGTCTTCGGATAAGGACAGCTAGGAGAATAATGCCCCTTCTTGCCGCAATTGTAGCAGGTGACATTGGCATTACGAGATGCATCTCCCGCAGCTTGAACTGCGCGAGGAACTTGACGAACTAACTGAGTTTGCGGACGTGGAGGCACATACATCTGCCGAGGTGGCTGAGGTGCCATAGGACGAACCGCAGGAGATGGAGCAAGACGAGGCCGAGTGGAACTGCTGCTGCCAGCAAATTTCTTTGCAGCCCACTTACGCTTACGGTCTTCAACCACTTCCTTTTCACTTGATTCAACACGAAGGGCAACCAGTGTCTTCATGCTGGTGATTTCATGAGCAGCAAGAGCATGCTTGAGTTCAGGTGCAAGACGATCTCTGCATAGCTCAACCTTCTTTGTTTCAGTGTTCAAGTCAGAAGCGGCATATCTACCCAGATAATTGAAGCGTTCCATGAACTCCATGAAGGGCATGTTTCCTTGCTTCAAGTTAAGAAATTCTTTCTTTTTGATTTCCATGAGACCAGCAGGGATGTGAGCAGACCTGAATCCCTCACGGAAAACAGTCCAAGTGATTGGCTCGTCAGGAGGAATGAGAGTCTTGTATGTCTCCCACCAAGCAGCTGCTGCACCTTGCAGGTAGTAAGCAGCAAAGGTAGCCTTCTCTACAGGATCACACCGGCAAAGGTTCAGCTTGATTTCAATATCACGAAGCCAATCATCTGCTGCGAGTGGATCAGCCGCAGAGGAGAAATGAGGTGGATGTGTTCGTTGAACATCTGCTAGCTTGGAGGGTGCTTGATTGGCCTGCTGTGCCATGGCAGCCCCCATGTTTTCAGAGTTCGCTACCATCCTTTCAAAAAGTCGGTTCTGATTAGCCAGGAGTTGAGCAAGAGATGGTTCATCATCATGCTGTTCTGCAGTGGCAGCACGGCGACTACCCCCGGCACGTCCAGAAGAATATGGGCCAGTGCGAGGCTGACTCGCTCCCTCACCATTGGCATCATCAGTAAGAGCAGCCATAGAGCGAGTATGTGTCATCCTGCACTCAAAGTACAAAAGTACATGAGCTGCTTGAGCATAGAATTGGCATATACATTACCCTAAATAGGTAGCATACAGGAATGATTTCTTATAGCCGAATTTACAAGTCATCCATCATATATTTGCATGAAACAAATTTCTGGACAGCAAGCAATCCATTCCAAAAGGAGCATAAGTTCATTCCAGTACATTAGTTTTAAAGGATCTAAGTGATCACAGATACATAGGAGTGGATAATGGTCATAAGAAACCAAGTTCATGCCTTGGTGTTACAAAATTTTGACCGTTAAAAAGATTACATATTAGGGTGTCATCTCATACATCTTAAAGAAAAGAAATGAAAGTTACACCCCATACATATTCTTTTTTTCCAGTACACCATTCTATGGAACTTCGGAGAATCCGATGGGAGGTTGAGGCACTGTGGTTGACGGAGTGGCCATAGTCAAACGGTATTGTCTCCCATTCCGCTCGAACTCATAGAATGGCCCCAGCAGCACCGGATCTCCAGCAAGTGCAGGGTCTGGCATGGTTCGACGATTTCGATGAAAACCAACTCTCATGCGGGCTCTAGTGTTTATATTATGATAAATACCCATGGGAGGAGGCAAAGTCTCTGTAAGAGGCTGGAGTTCATGATTCCCATAAATGATGGCATTATCAAAATGTCCTTGATGCCCGAGTGGTTCTATTCGTCTATCAAGCATGACCACCCTAGCTTGCAATCTACGCAACTCAGTTATAGTTTTTGCGAGATATCTATCCATAGCACGAACCAGGCCAGCTAAGAATAGTCCTGGAGTGTCAATCTCTCTCATGTTTCCCTCAAGACCTGGATAGTAATTAGCGGAGGATTGGTTTGTGCGAGCTGGAAAGAAATGAAAGAACCCGTCCAACCCTGGCCTATAATGTCGGTAATACACAATCGCTTGTAATGCAGCTTCCTGCATTGCTGAGGGTGCATCCCAACCACAAGCTTGAAAGTAAAGGGGTGGTTCATGGGTCCAAAGTCCCTGTATACACAGCTCAGCCATATATGCTCGAGAGATGAACTCCGCTCATGAGAAAAGAAATGATACTCCGGTGGATGATCATAACCTAGATGTTGCAGCATAAGCCACAGGATGTGAGGCAGTGATTCTTCCTCAAAACCTCCAGAATAGCCCGATGGTTGCCACATAGAAGACATCTACAAGATATTGGAAGTATAGACCAATTAGAATTTCAATTGAAACTCTTTAGGAACTTGGAAATGGTGTTTTGGTTATTATGTCAGGTTCTGTCCAGCATACTGCTCTGAGTAAAAAATGAGAAGGACGACTGCTACCAGTTCTAGAATCTGCGCAGTTTAAAAAAAATTATATATTTTTTTTTAAAAAAAATGCGAGCATGTAAAATTCGTACCAATTTTGGGACATGCTAAGAACTTAATGTAGAGGCTTTACAAACATCTGGTGGCCTTTATATGACAAGCAAACTATGGTTAAAACAAATCAATTCCATCCTACCCCGTACTACCACTTTCTAGGCCATCGATAAAATTTTAAAATTTTAAATTCAAATTTAGAAGGGAAAAATTTAGTCATCTATTTACTGAGAAGTTTTCAAATCATTCAAGTACTGACTTGAATCGAATTTGTTTCATTCATTCCTTATTCTTCTCTATGAGTTACTACTTCTCTATTTATGCATCTTCCGGTCCTATAGAGTAAGATGGGGTTTTAAAATCAAAACAAGATTCATAGGAAAGGAATTTATCCAAACAGGGCTAAGAAGTAAGAATAGATTAGATTTTGCAAATATATTTTAGTGAGGACATTACCCTCAAAATATTTTCTTTTGAAGCCTTACTACCGCTCAGTCTTAAAAGGGTTCCTACAGTCGGTCTTGGCTCTGATACCAAAGCTGTCGGAAGCACTCCGAACCCCTTAGTATATTTGAAGGATGAATAGCTAATCACAATTCTTCCATCAAACATATTAAGACATTCGACGCTCCGAGAGAAAAATATGTGAGACATTGCCGGGCCTTTAGCCTGCCAGTCAACTTCAGCCTGAGATGTGCCCGTCAAACCACTCGAAGGTGGCGACCAGATGTGTTACACAATCAGGAGACTTGACAAAAATGGCTAAAGATCCACAACATCTCAAATATCTTTAACTCATACTCATGTTTAATATGTCCCTAACAAAAGGAACACACTAAACACTTTCATCCAAGCACATGATATCTCAACATAGGGAGTTCTAAGTTCTAAGTTTTAGTTAGGATCATACAACTTATAACTTAGATACACATGGCCGATTGGCTGAATAGATAGGTTCGCGGAAGCATCTTCTACCCAAAAGATCTTTCATGCAACCGACTAGGATAGACCCTAGTAAGAACCATCCTGGAAGAAAGAAACTTCCCCAACGAAATCATCCTCCACAGGAGTGATCTCACCTGCAACCAATTCTAAACATGCAACAATACAACAATACAAGCAAGAGTCAGTACAATAAATTGTACTGGCAAGCACCAAGCAAGCCTAGTACTCTACATGCATGGCAAATTCAAAGTAAAGCTAACATGGGATAATTTTAGCATAAAGCAAATTTAGTTTGCAAAGAGCATTTCAAATTTCAGATTTATTTTCAAATAAATTTCAGCAAGCATACACTTAGCAATTGGGCACCAAATTAGATGATAAACACATATAACATAGCTCCTTATTGCCTTCCATGGCAGCAAGGATATAAACCACAAATCACATCACATTTTGAAGTTCAAATTCAGCTTTAGAAGAATAAAACACATGTCTAAACTCATGACATATTCACACGCCGCTCTTGACCGTGAGCACGGCTAATCGATTAGTTTTAACTCTGCAGAGTACGTACACTTTACCCACATGATGCGAAATAATAATCATGCAAAAGCATGGCACGCGATACATAAGTACCCGATTTATTACTCACAACAAAGCCCTTCCAAGATTCATGATTTAGCCTTACACCAGCACGATACGTGTTACTCCATCCTAAGCCATACTCGATATATGACCTAGAACCGTTAAGTGGCGGGCCCACGCCTTAAACTTAACGCCGTGGTGGCGGACGCAACGGGAACCCACCCACGTGGCACAATACCGTTGTATTGGACAGACTTAGTCACCTAAACTACCACGTCGGGGTAAATAGGAAGTTCCTCTGAATCAACGACTAATTCCTCAGAATTATCGACTAACTCATACACACCGGCCTACCAGAATGTAAGGCTAAATCATAAATAATTTACTAAGCTTGGGCTATCCCATACTAGCACATGTGGTTGTACTGTATACGAAATGAATTGACGCTGAGTGAAGTCCTTAGGTCGGTTTGGGCACACTCTCCCCCTATCAGTACACAACTAAACACAATATGTGTACCACATGCGGCCCAAACCTAAAATCCACATTTTCCAACATTTTATTTAACAAATATCACATTTTATCATTTTAATCCAGATCATAAAATAAATCATTTAATATATGTAATTGAGCCCAAATGGTAAGTAAACTCATCACTAAGCATGGCTGAGCATTTTTATAGACTTGCTATCTCAAACATCATTCTTAATGTGACACAATGGATTGTTCCTAAGGTTTTGGAATAATGGTTAAGGTCTTTTGTGGAGTTCAGGTGATAATGCAAGTTAAGGAGTTGATCTAACAAATTTTACAAGATTTTAATGGATTAGTGTACAATAGACATGCATATTTTGCAAACTTTTCAAAAACATCCAAATCATAGGTTCAATGTGATCAAAGAAGGGAGGTGGCTTGCCTTGCTCTTCCACTCCTTGCTCAGCTACAAAGTAGGCCTCCTCGAGACTCGGCTGCGAATCGTCTAAACATACATATGCAAAAATTTAAAATTTAAACATACATAAAAATCCAACATGCTCTAAAATGAATGCTTTTTTTTATGGAGTTGGTGTGCTCTGTGTTAGTTTGATTTTCAGTGAAAGAAACTTCAATCTAACAGTTTACATTCAAAGTTACAGATTTTTTTTTAAAGTGTTTACATGTTAATTATGGTCCTAAATGCATTTCGAATTATTGAGACATAAATCTTTATGATTCTGTTAAGTCAAACATTTTTATGATGCAAAGCATGAAAATATGATTCCAACATAATTTAGTTTGCAATTTTTAGAGTCAGGATGAATTTTCTACCACTTTCTAAAGTTCTGACATTTTTCAGTTGATAGGAAATTAGTTTTTGTATTTTCTCAAATTTTCATACATCATTTTCCTTTCTCAGGTCCACCAGACAGAGACTAACATTTTGCGCAAAAGCTCCTGGGTTCTCAGGAAATAGATCCCGCAGCCCCTAGCACGTGTTCCAGGATTTTATTCAAAATGGGACTTGAGTTCTATGTTATTTACAGATTAGTGCACGACCCCATATGTAAGTGATTGCTCGGGCTGCTAATACATCCCTGGGAGTCTTTAAATTTCAAAAGCCATGCCCTTGCTCTGGACAGAACAGAGCAGCAGCACAGCCACGAACTTCACAGTATCACCAGCGGCGAACAGCGGCGATTCAGCTCAAGCTCCCAAAACAAAAAGTGTAGAGAACAACCGTACGAACCTATTGGTGTTTTTCTTGCAAGCCTTGGTGCTCTATAGCGGCTGTCAGGGTGTTAGAAGCGGCGGCTAAGCTCGGCTTGCACATGCATGTGAGTTTTGAGGCTCGATCTAATCGTGCATGCGTATGGTAAGGACTCTAGGGACTACTAGGAGGCTCACCAAGAAGCAAACGCAGCTCAGCGAAGTCTTGGCGACGGTGTACTGGTTCGGCGACGGCGCGGCTGCTACGGTCGTCGTCGACGGCGTATCCCCAGGCTTCTACTGCAAAGAGAGGAAGCATGCCTCTGTTTAGATCAGCACAAGGTAGCTCTAGGCGGAAAATATTGCGCCGAAGCTCACCAGAGAAGGAGAAAGAAAGGAA